GACTTGAGCTTTTGCCAATACAATGATCCAGCTTAGAAATAATTCCACATGCCATTGCAAAATGAATGTTTTAGGAGGAAGAAACTGGTGAAAAACTTACTTCAACCAATAAATGTTTCAAGCTTGAGATATTTGATGCCTTCAAAATGTGTTCACGCCAAATGCCGGAGTGCTGCGGATTCAACCATGGACCAACCAAGAGTCCTTGCAGTCGACTTTCCATGGAAAGTATCTGGCATATGATGGCCAAAAGATGACTGTTCTTCTCAATGGATTGAATGTTAGCTACTTCACTTTCCGAAAGACCTCGTAAAGCCCCAAGACTCATATTAAACAAACAATTTATCTCACTACCAGCATCCTCAGAAGAACTTTTGCAGGAATGACACCATCCACATTTTTCTTTCCACGCATCTAGGTAGAGGCTTTGGATGTTTCGCCATTGAAATTTGGTGGTTTTCATCAATATAGTCTTCACCTGGGTAGAAGCTATTTCTTCATCAGATCTCATATCATTGGTACGGATTGGTGACTTACGTATCATCTCTTCATAAACTGATCTAGTCATCTGAGCAAATATGTAATGGTTTCTGTAGCCTGTTTCACTCTGCACATTTGGTTTAATTCCTTTCCGTGTGTTTATTCTAGCCAAATTATAGGAATTCATATTTGGCTCTTTCATGATATCCAAAATGCCTGATGATGCTGGCTCATGAAGTCTCTGGACGTCTGATCCATTTTGTACAGTTTCAGCAGATCCTTCAGAACTCATATTAAGGATATCTAGCCCAGTAGCTGAATCTAATATCTTCCGACGAGTCCTAGGACCATGATTATGTGACCATCCATTGCTGGATGCTTTGTTCAGCTTCTTTTTAGCACCAGATGTTGACTGTTTTTCTGAAGCTGGTAGAGGAGCCTTAAACCCATCAATAGAAGGAATCATTTCTTTGACAGACTTATCCAGGCATACAGACATTTGGGAATTCACACCGCTGATTGTCCTTATTGGCCCAACAGTGATATCCCAGTGTTTTTTAATTGCCCTTACTACGCCACTATAGAAACTACTGCATGACTTTAGCTGTTCCAGCACAAGGTTCACATCATTCACATGATAGTAGTTCAATGAGCCTGTGCCATCTGTATCTATCCTGCAAATTCATAGTGGACGACATCAACCAACCTACGAAAATGTATAACAGTTCCTACAATCAACATATGAAAGAAGTTCCTAGAAATAGATGATAAAAACATTCCACATCTGTATACATTGAGGGATACTGAGGGTTAACATGTGCATCTAAATAACAAACAAAAAAGGCTATTCACAGGTCCAAACATGCAATTCCAATTATTGGAAAACCAAAATGTATCTACAGTGCTCGTCAGACATCATCACAAATTGTACCACTGAGTTAGACAAATTTTTTGCTAATATTCATAAAACATTTATGTTTGTTTATGAAAAAACAATTATAGTGATCCATATCCACAATATTGATTCCATTAAGAGAATTGAAGAAAGAAACTTACACCAATAAGTAGCCACAACTGCTGTAGTATTTTCGACCATGGGGATCAATCTCTATAAACTCTGCGCCTCGAATTTGCTTTTCAGGCTTCAATCCTGGTACACGCCGATCAAATGCACATTCAGGACAGTACCAGTCACCCTCAGGCAAAAGGTGACTGGCAAGACCGACACACTTAGAATGATATGCAGCCGGACAACCATCACAGCACAGTAAGCTCCCATCCATTTTACAAAAACAGCAGTCGTCACTGTTCCGGTCAAATGAGGTATCAATGACCTCGTTATTAAAAGACAAATCATCTGCCAGCTCCATCATAGTTCGCTTTCTGCGTCGAACTTCTGTGTTCGTCTTCCTATCAAGTTCCATTTCAAACTCAGCTGCAAAAGATCTTTTATTAAGCTCTGACCTCACAACTTCAGCATCTGTCATATCATTGCACAAACGACTAAGTATCTCAATTTTCAGATTCATGGGTTGTCTGAAATACTCGTTTCTGAAAAAGTTCAACCGAGTAAGATCCAATCCAGGGTTGTCTTTGTAGCCAGAAAATAGTAGGTATTCAACCACAAAAAGGGGGTATGTAACCACATCCAACGTATCCCAATCAAGACTCCTGCATTCAACACACCACCAGCAAAGTATCAGAACCAAAACAGGAGAGGCTTTATATCCATAAAACAGCAGTAAAACTAAAGTACTAAAGAAAGAAAAATAAAAGGTATACCTCAGGCAAGCAGACGCAGATAGTTCACCTTCAGCAGCGAGTTGTTTCAAATGTTTTCTTAATATTTGCAAGACAGAAACATGGATGCTATCAAATAATAGACTAGGAGACATGCACCTCAATGCTTCCACAAAATCTTTCAGCTCAAAGGGACTCAAAAACAGCAAAGTACTGAAGGACCGCAGACAAGAGTAAGTAGTAAAGACATCAAGTACGGGAAGACCATCTAAATCCAAAATATGGGAGGATGGAGGTAATTGTGGCTTTGGCGGGAGGGCAGAAATATTCTCAGCTTTTCCATCAACGACCCAAGTTTTCTCCTCTGTCAGACTACTAATTGAAGGAGAAGGGGATACTTCATCAACTAAGCATGCTGTTACAGTACTACTGACAGGAGATCGAGCTAACCTTCTACGAGCGCTTCTTCTCAACCGAGGTTCACTCATGATTTTTGGATTGTCAGAAGCTTTTCTTCTTTTCCTCCTACCACTTGCATATTCATCTGAATTTCCCCTATCAGATAGAGACTCATCAACAGTCTTAGCATCATGCTGAGGTAGCTCATGATCTTGCTCAACCCCATTAGAATTAGGATTATTGGGATCTTGTAGTGAAACAATGTTCTGCTTCTGTATCTCCTCCAAAAGCTGAGCGCTGGACACTTCAGCAACATGAACTTCTTTATATTCCCCAGTCTCAATATTATCCTGGACACCATTTCCGTCTTGCATGTTGATTTCCTGAACAATGTCATTTCCATTCATTTGAATGTACACGCCATCCTTGCTGTTCTCTACATCAACCTCCACGTTCAAATCAAATCCTCCCTCCCTCTTCTGCCCATTGAAATCACAGACAGCAGCATTGTCCAAATCACAGCTCGCATCCATGTTCAGATCAATATCCCACCTCCTTTTGTCACTACAATTGTCTTCATAATCAATATTCACATTAATCAAACCTAAACCTTCATTCGAATTCCAATCCAACCCAGTAGTCAGATCAAACCCAGTTTCCGATTCCGGCACCGTCTTATTCAAATCCGTCACAGAGTCACATGTCCTACCTAGGGTTTCCACAGGACCACAATTCAAATCAACATTCCCTCTCAAATTCACCTCACTAACTCCCGAAATCTCCGTAACTCCATCATTTAAATCGACATTTACCTCATCCAACCCAGAGCTTTGTCGCTTGATCTCAACCATCTTCGCGACACGAGACCGTTTCTTCGGCTTCCTACCAACTCTCTTCTTCACTGGAACCGAATTCTCCTGAGATTTACCATCTCCCATGACGAGAGCAACAACCTCATCCAATTCCGAAATCTCCGTGACTCCGTTCTCATAAACGATCTCGAAAAATCCAGACGAATCGCGAGATCGAACCGTCCCGGAGCAAAACCCAATCCCTTGGATCTCCTTCCGAACGACTTTACCCACCAACTCCATTGCTAAAAAGCTTGCTCTCGCTTCACGAAACAAACGAATCAAAGAAAACCCATAGCCAAGTCTCTCTGGATTGCAAAAAAAAAAAAAAAGAAGCGCTGGGTTTTCACTTTATTCTAGAAACGCTTGCAACGTGCAAGGAGAGAAAGAGAGACAAGGACAGAGATTCTCTCTCTTCTAATTTCTCGGGAAAAAAAAGTAGAAAGAGAATTCTTCTTCCTCTTCTTCTTCTACTTCTACAGAGAAACGAAACGCCCTTAACGAATTCTCTCTCTCTTTCTCACAGTGATGATGAGAAGAAACAAAGACGGGTTGGTCAATGTTAGGAAGAGAAGGCCATCTCTCTCTCCCCCTCCCACACTACTCTTTTTTTCACCTTTTCTTTTTTTTATGGTCAAAGAATGTGACAATGTGTGATATATTGTGATATGTTTTCCTTTTTTTTTTTTTACCAGTTATAAACGATGATAAAATTGGTACTCTAACCAACTACTTTGTCATTTACATGTGTGCTAATTTCTCTACATGTAGGTTTATTATTTTCCAACTATACAAATAATCTAATTTTATATAAATATAAAAGTAAAATAAATAAAAATTGGTAAATTTTATTAAATAAGATATTAAATTTGTAATTGATATAATTTATGTTATTATTAATAGATATTTTAAGTTAATTTGTGTGTTGTATAATTTCAAAATATAATTATAAGTAAGAAATCTATATAAACTAAAAATTGACACATGGAAATGTTGTTCCAAAAAAGTATTTCTCTTTTTAGAGATACATTTGTGTTAGTTTGTTCCTAATTTTCTATAGATACGCTCTATGTTTGTTTGTTTCGGAAGTATCTCTCACCATTTTTACTCTAGAATGTCATTATCTACCAATATGCATTTTCTTCTAACTAAAATTCCTAATGGAGATAAAGCAGGTCGGAATGAATGCATGATAGACAAAATAGTATGAAAACTCATGAAAAAATTGATGTTATTTGTTTGACCAAAAAAAAAAAATATTTGATGTTATTTTGTCTATTCTACACTTATTCCGAATTGTTTTGCCAAACCAACATTAATATATATATTTTTTTTTTAAACAACACTAATATGATAATAACATAAAACTCTAAATTAGTCATGGAAAATATAATAAAAATTAAAAAAAATCTTAGTATCTTTTTATGAATGCAGTCAAAAAAAAAAAAAGCCTCTAAATTTACGGAAAACTTTTATTTCTGTAAAATTTCTCAACTGGGTCTCGTCATCAAAGAAAAAATTGCGCAAGGGAGAGTCGTCGTCCAAAGCCGAGAAGCAAAAAGAAACTCTGAAATATCTTCGAGCTGCGACAGGAAAAATGGACGCGGCGATAGGGAAGGTTTTCGATTCCGTCTCAGACTTCTTCTCCGGCGCTGCTTCTGCTTCCGCCGATGAGTTCCCCTTGTGCGATTCCGACATCATCTCCGTAAGTTTTATGATTCATCACCTTATCTTCCTCAACTTGACAGCCACATGAACCTCTAAATTCCGAATTTCCAATTGTTTTAATATCTATCTCCTTCACCTTCTTCGGATTTTGGATCCTCTTGCGTTGCTTGTTTGTGTACAGATTTTCTTAATGTGTCTGGACTGAATTTTGACATGCATACATAACTTTGTAAGGTATTGAAATCTTTCTCAGGGATGTGAGAAAGAACTTGCAGAGGCTCAAGACGAAGGACGTAAGAAGGAATGCATTATGCGTCTTTCATGGGCTCTTGTTCATTCAAAGATGCCTGGTGATATCCAGCGTGGAATTGCAATGCTTGAAGGTAATAGATTATGCTCACGATTCACAATTTCATTTTTCCAGTAAAACGTTTTAAATCTATGGAATCTTCAGCTGCCTAGTGAAGTGTTCTTCCATAAGGTGGATGCTTTGATCCATTTTACTGGTTTGATCTCAGCAAAGTGTTTCGCTTTGTTTTTGCAGCTTTGGTGGTTAATGATACAAGTGCAATGAAACTTAGGGAGAAGCTATATCTCCTTGCTCTTGGGTACTATCGAAGCGGTGACTTTTCAAGAAGCCGGGATTGTATAGAACGGTGTTTGGAGGTTTGATCATCTGATCCATGGATAAATCCAGAATATCTTATTGTTTATGTATTCATCAATGCGTTCTTTTTCTTTCTGTTGTTTTAGGTTGAACCAGAGTGGGGACAGGCTCAGACTCTCAAAAAGGCTATAGAGGACCGTATTGTGAAAGGTAATCACATGGTACTATTGTGTCACTTGTCCTCATCGCCCATTAGAATCTTCAGCTACTTTCTCTTAACTCTCTTCTGATTTTTGAAAGCAGATGGTGTTATTGGCGTTGGAATTGCTGTCACTGCTGTAGGGCTTGTTGCTGGTATTGCTGCAGCCATTATACGCAGCTAAGGAGGAAAGAACCAATACATGTAAATGTTTCCCTGATTTTCAGTGAGTCTGTTTAGTTTCTTTGTGTCCTTCAAAGAATGTCTTTATTAAGGGAAAGTTATTCCTGTTTTACTATGAATAGCTAAACAACAGAACTGATTGAGGAAGCATCAAACAGAAAACTTTATTATTACTTCAGCTTTAAAGATATTATTATTCCATACTAGAAAATTAGAAGAAATGCTACTGTTTTAAGGTTTTAAGTTGAGAATGAACTCTAAATTTCTCCATGTCCTAGCAAGGCTAGAAGAAAAGCCTTGTAGTCCCCTGATGTCTCTTTTGCTATGGCTTGATCGAGACTCACATTGTTCCTCTTGAGGTACAGCTCAGTTATATTCTTCAGGTCCTTTTCTGCTCGTGTGACAACCACACGGTTCAGGGCATCTTCATCAGTCCCCACCGTGTTGATTGAATTGCGCAAAACCTAAGGGCATTAGAGATTAAACATATGAATACCAGTTAGTTGTATTGGGATAAATTAAAGACCACCTCTGAAAGTTATTGTTGTAACTTACCTTTGCGTGATACCGGATAGGGTTTTTGATGCACCTGATGGCTGCACGTAGTGCACTCAGGTACTCATTTGTAGGGTGATTGAGGAGATCCTGGTCATCAAATGTTTCATTACGGATAACAAAAGGACATTATCATTAAGAATAACTGGTATGATTGCTTTATTTCCCCAATTTGATTCCAAAGTCATTTTATTGTTTGTCTAAAAATTTCCCATTTATTGCTTTGTCACAGATCAATAATCAGTTATAACATAACTTGATGTCCATTTTTTTGTTTGTTTACCTTAGTGATCGATCTGCCATATATATCCTTGTAGCGGTTGAAGATTGCGCTAAGCTGCATGCTGCTCCTTGTACTTAACACCCTGATCGTTTCTTCGTGATCAACAGCCTTACCAAGGATTTCATCATGAAGAATCGCAGCCTCTGATTGTGCCAGCATCTCATCAATTTCTTCTCCATCATATTTATAAGCAGACACCATTGCAACCAAGAGCTGTATATATCAAAAAAAAACCAAGCGTTGAAGATCAGTCAAAACAAGAAGAAAATATCTGGAAACTAAAATTACTCACTCTCCTGATGTCGCCAATAGTACGGGAGGCCAAGTCTTCCTCAAGAGAACGCTTGTAGAGGCAACGGTAAGCACGTCTAGCAGCTAATAGATCTTCAGGGGATCTCATGCAGGCTATTTCGACAAGGACCTTATAGTCAGGAACAGGCTTTTGAAGAGCCAAGTGAGCCAAGAGAGCATCTCTCTCTGGAGGATCCAAGACCCACAAGCAAATAGCTCTCTGCAGGTAACAAATATATTTGCCTTGAGAATTACCTTTTGTGGATTATCGGAATAGAGTAGAGCATATGGATATATATAATCTAAACCTCAAAATTTCCAGAGAGCTCAGATTTGAGCTGGTGAATGAGATCCTCATGGTAAATCTCCTGGTAAGCTTGTCTTATGAGCTTCCTCTGGAACAAATTCCGGTGTCCTAGGATCGAGATGATGGCCTTTTCATTGGTTCCCCATCCTAAAAACACAAATAGAAAGAAAGAAGAGGAATAAAGGAGATAGCAAGAAACTTGAATCATATAAGTCTTGAAACACTAATCCAAAGAAAAGTAGAACCTTGACAAGCGGCCTTGATGTTTTCAGCGTCTTCGACAGGGGAGAAATGCGGAGGAGAAACAATGGTGGCCATTCTTTGTATCTGTTTCTGCTTAAGATATCTTTTGACTCAGATTAATCACTTGTTGGATATTGCTTCCATTGCTTTGAGCTCTCTTAATTTATAAGAGAGTGGTTACGAGGTTACAATGCTTTGAGCAGACCATAAAATGTTTCAAAATGCTCATTGATTGTGTTTACGCTATGTGAATCTGAAACTCTCTCTATTAATGCCGCCCGTTTATGTATGACTTTGCCGTTAAGAATAAGTTTTCATAAGGAAAATAATTGCATCCTGAAATGTTTATTTTTGTTTGAAGTTATTTGCTATTGAGAATTTAATTCATCCCTCTATGTGGCAAGTGTTTCGATTATCTTCTTCCATGTGTTAAATGAAGTAAGTGAATCAACGAACCAATTGCTTTGTAAGGCGGGTATTTTCATCTACTTTGGAGCCAGATTGTCCCAAAATTGGGTGTTAATGGAGAGAAAATTACTAATTAGATAAATAAATAAAAAAAAAAAAAAAAAAAAAAAAAAAAAAAAAAAAAAAATACTAATTAGATCACTCTGTGACTCTTATACAACATATTAATAATTTAACAGTTGAATAGAATCGTTAACCGGCCGGTTTAGGAAAAAAACAAAAAAAAACTCGTAAATAATAAAATTAACAGCTCATCTGGAGGGAGCTCGTAGTTGTGAAAAGTAATCCCCAACTCCGCCATTGTAGACCGTCTCTATTTCTCCGTCTTTCTCTCCCTGCAGTTACCGGATTCCGCCGGATAGATCTCTCCGCTCACCGCCGGTAAGTTGTTCCATATCACATTTTTCCTTCCCCGTGTCGTTCTCTGCGCAATTGGTCGTCCCTAGGCTCTAAATTTTGTTGCATTCGGCGGATAAATCAGCGATTACCGGTGATTGCTTAACTGAGAAGATTTTATACTAGTTTAATTTTGATTTAGTATCATTGAAGAATCCAGAATCCTACGCATCTCTTTCTGCTATTTATTGAATGTTTCATGTATGATCTGTCAGACTTGATTCTTCAATTCTTTGAATTTTTTTATTTTGTTTTGTCAGATGACAGAAGGAATCAGAGCAAGAGGACCCAGATCATCCTCTGTTAACTCTGTTCCTCTGATTCTTGACATTGAAGACTTCAAGGTAAGGTTTTCAGCTTCTGGGTTGCTTATGTTTTTTACTTTTGAATAATAAGTGATTTTGAGTTTTTGTTTGGTCACTCGCAGGGTGATTTTTCATTTGATGCATTATTTGGGAACCTGGTAAACGATCTCTTGCCGTCTTTCCTAGACGAAGAAGCAGATTCTGGGGATGGCCATGGCAACATTGCTGGAGTTGATGGTTTGACAAATGGGCATTTACGTGGGCAATCTGCTCCTTTGTCCTCTGCTCCTTTTTTCCCTGAAGTAGATGGTCTTTTGTCTCTGTTCAAAGATGCTTGTAAGGAGTTAGTTGATCTTCGGAAGCAGGTGAGAGTGTCTTGGGTCTACATCGACGACGAGCCCTTGTTTTTTTTTTATCCTTCTGATATCTGAGGTTTTTGTTAAATATTTTGGAAGGTTGATGGAAGGCTCAATACACTAAAGAAGGAAGTTTCAACCCAAGATTCTAAACACCGGAAGACACTGACTGAGGTTGGCAGACCAATACTAATACTTTGATTAAATTCCTTGGGTACATGGATCACTACCTGATGAATAACTGACATCCCGATCATTTCTTCAAATGGTAATTGAATTCTCTTTCTAGATAGAGAAGGGTGTGGACGGTCTGTTTGAGAGCTTTGCAAGGTTGGACGGTCGTATTTCAAGTGTTGGACAGACCGCTGCAAAAATAGGAGATCATTTGCAGGTAAAATTTATCTCGCTTATAACCAACTATCTGCTGATCTATCCAATATCAACCCATACTTCCTTTGTCAGAGTGCAGATGCTCAGCGGGAAACGGCTAGCCAAACGATAGATCTTATAAAGGTAAAAGTGCATCTATGTTGCAAGGTTGGTCACAGATTTAGTTAGATGAATGCTTAAAGTAATCCTTGTTCAACAAATGCAGTACCTAATGGAGTTCAACGGCAGCCCAGGGGATCTTATGGAGCTTTCCGCTTTGTTTTCTGATGATAGCCGCGTAGCTGAGGCTGCTTCTATCGCTCAGAAATTACGTATGATGTGATAACTTTATGTTACTTGAAATGTGTCTGGAGTGTTAGAACAACTTTTTATCTATTATTTGTTAACAACTTACTTCCACAACAATGAAAGTTTACTTTAAAAAAAAAAAATGAAAGTTTTCAATTAAAATTAGGCTGCAACTTATTTCCTTGTCAATATCAGGATCCTTTGCTGAGGAAGACATTGGAAGGCAAGGTGCGGGTACAGCTGCAGGAAATGCTACCCCTGGCCGAGGACTGGAAGTTGCAGTTGCTAATCTTCAGGATTACTGTAATGGTAAACTAATTCGTTTATACTGTGTTTTCTATATTTTTACTGAAGAGCATTATTGTATGTTCAACTTTGTCTTTGTATGATGTTGTAGAATTGGAGAACAGGCTTTTATCTCGTTTTGATGCTGCATCACAGCGGAGAGATTTATCCACCATGTCAGAATGTGCTAAGATTTTGTCACAGGTGAATACTTTATTCTGTAGCATGCACCTTTACAATTCAGTAGGAAACCCATTCTGAGCGAAGGCCTTTCTTACATATCTAGTGGTTACATACTGGTTAATTCTACATAAAGCTGTCACAGAACGAATGGATGTCTAGCTCTCCTCTTGTAAATGTTTCTTGATGCATAGGTTTTTTTCTTCTTGATTTTCAGTTTAACAGGGGTACTAGTGCTATGCAACATTATGTGGCTACACGTCCAATGTTTATTGATGTTGAAGTCATGAATTCAGACATAAGGTTGGTTCTTGGTGACCATGGTTCTCAGCCTAGTCCTAGCAATGTTGCCCGTGGACTTTCAGCTTTATACAAGGAAATTACAGGTTTGAAGGATTGTCATTGATCTGGATGCCATACTTGAAACATGCTTCTATGCCGATTCATATCTTTTGTTACTTCTTATGTGTAGACACTGTACGCAAAGAAGCAGCGACCATTACAGCCGTTTTCCCTACTCCAAATGAAGTTATGGCGATCTTAGTTCAGGTAAGTGGCACTGATAATTTGGACATTGTAGGGTTAACCCGGCATATGGATAAGCTATACCAACTCTTCGTGTATTTTACGCAGAGAGTTCTGGAGCAGCGTGTCACAGGTATTCTTGACAAAATTTTGGCGAAGCCC